CGAACATTCTAATTTTGGGGAGATAATGTTATGATACGACATGAGCCAGATTATAGATTCTGGGCATCCTGTATAATACGAAGGACGAAGAGTCTAAACATTCCTGATCGGGGTTACCCCTCACCTACTGTATAGAAGGGTTCCGAACTATAAAGGAGCGTGAGGCTGAGACATCCCTGAAGAAGGATAACACTTTTTAGACATCGAGAATACGACAGATAGACTAGGCCTATCCACTAAGGCTGAACTATCTATAAACCGATCTACTCGTAGTTTAAGAGACAGCTCCAGGCTGTTTCATAATATAGCCATCAATAAGGTCGTATAGTGTAGTGGTATCACCTCGGATTCTGATTCCGGTAACCCGGGTTCGAACCCCGGTATGACCTATCTTTTTGTCTACTACCCTATCTTTGACTGTGTTAATCTGGGGTTCAGACTCTTAGTTCATGTCACCGCCCTGCTCTCGAATGATATATATGCACTTATTCGTATCTTTGTAGCTGTAGTAGGATACCATTCTATTTATTGGCAATTCTCAAGTAGTATTCCTTTGTCATTTTGCGCCACTTCTTCCCCCAAATTATAAAGAAGATCGCAAACCCGTTGATAATAAGCGATAACATAAACATTAACCAGGTTGTCGTGACAAGTCCATCTCTTTCTAACCAAGCCTGGATACCCCATGTGAAACCCATGCCTATCATGTTTCTAACGAACAACATCAACACCAATGCCTCAGAAGACAATTCAGGATAACATTCGATAGCGTACGTTAAACAGATCGGGCCTGTAGAGGTCATGGAGAACCCAAGAAAACCTTGGCCCACAATAACCGGTATGGCCCACGGAGCCTTGCTGTTTGCACCAAGACCATAAGCGAGCACACCTGCTGCGTTGATCAAAGTAGGAAACCACATGGCGTAGAGTCTGAACTCGGCCTCAAGAACTCCTTTGTTTCTTTTGGCCAAGAAAACCGCGAGCCAGTCCACAAATCGTCCTCCATAGACCATGCCAATCAAGCAGCCAGCCAATGGAGCCAAGTTGGTAAGACCTGTAGAAGAGGTGGAGAAGCCATAGTATGTCTCGAAAATCTCCGATTGTGTCGTGGCCATGAGCGAAAGCCACATCATCTGGGCGCCATAAACAATACCGCCCCATATCACTGCAGGAAGTGGAGCCAATTGAATTGGGCGACTGAACAAGTAAAACCACGATTCTTTCATGTTGAACTCAAGCTCAAATATTTGCATGCGTTTCCAGTAGGTTCTGGGAACACCTTCCAAGTCCTCCTCATCAGAAACATCCGAGGTAGGTGCAGATACTACATGGTGGATGCGGTTATCTTTTTCAGAAAGAACACCCGATTTGACGGCCAGAACCACTATTTCTTTGGACCAAATCTGCAGCAAAATGTCTTCCTCGGTGTTATTCTCATCTCGACTAAATGTCGTGTCTTCCATAAGAAATAGCTGGACAACAAACAACACGCAGAAAATGATCACTTGGAGCCTAAACGCCCATTGCCAGTCTGGTAAGTAGCCAGCAACCACGGGGCCAATATACGAGCCAAAATATAAAGCCATTACCAACCAGGCTAATTTGGTCGCCCTCTCGTGGGTGAAGAAAACATCAGTAGATGAGATTTCAACCAAAGAGTCCACTGGGGCTGCAGCGAACCCGCCCAAGACATTCACGGCAATCAAATATTGCCAGTTGGTGGCCTGCATTCCAACAATATTAGAGATCAACGAGATTATTGTACACACCAAGTACACAAATCTTCTTCCTAATTTCATAGCCGTAGGTTGAAGGAAAACACAACCAAGACCTAAGAAAAGAAAGCACATGGCAGCCGTGAGATTAAGATCATTGTATGTGCAATCGAACTCAACTGTCCATTGCGTCCAGTATGGACCGTTCCAGTTCACAGTGACCGCAAGAAACATACTCCAAACAAAAAGAAGACTGAACTGGGCATTCTTTTTTCTTTGCGACCAGCGAAGTGGGTCATTCACGTTTTCCAGAGGCTGTGGATGGAGAATAATATTTGGGTTGGATCCTCCTGCTTTTTTTACATGAAGGCTATCTTCCATATCGACCAAATGTACTGTGCCTGGAAGAAGCTCCTCCGGGTCGATTGAGACCTGACCCCCAGAAAGTACCTGTTCAAGTTTCCGGTCTAGCATTTCTTTTTGAAAATTCTGATCTTCTTTAAAATCTGTGAGAGAATCTAAGTATAGACTTGGGAAGAAAAACACTCTCAGATCAATTGCACTAATCAAGTTCTTGAAAGTGAATAGATTTTGATTCTTGTAGATGATATCGAGCTCTGCTTCACGAATTTGATAGACAAAAGATGGTGAGCACGAAGATCATAAGTATATATACTGGGGGATCTTTGAACGCGCCGTGCTGCGACTCCGCTTTTCGTATTTCTTATCGTGCATCAGCCGTTAGTCGGGTTTCTTGATGCGAAATCACCTCTTAAACAAGCAACATTCATATATGCAGCAGCAATGGTTGCGTTCAGGCATCTTTCCGTTAAAGCAAAAGAAAACCGAGCAAATGAAAAATGTCGCTTTGCCCCGCCCATGTTTCCTCACTTACCCTAAGATAACCCAATCCGGAAAGTGAAGGCGATTGAGTCGTGACACGGATTTAGCGCGTTGACATTTTTTCGCGATGTAGTGCGATAACACTTGGAAACCTGCATGCAATATTCCATCTTCATCAACATTATTTCCTGAGACTGCACAATAAAAAAGTATTGTTTTTTTGACTATTTGCTGGAGGGAAAAAATAAGTGCTTTACTTCAATTTATGAAGTCAAGCATCTAAGTGATAGAGAAATTCTTACATTTCATTTCTATTTGCAATTTTCTATTCCTTCCTATCGTATATTTCTTTCTTATTTAAGACAAGACATGCCTAAAGGGGAAGAACCAAATTTTCAAGCCTCTCTTTGCCTTTAATCATTCTCCCGCTTAGTGCTAATGCGCTATGAAAAATATTGATCAAAGTACATTATAAGATAGCGCTTCCAAAAATATGTTCGTGTTTGGGTGAAGCGGAGCCAATGGTTTCTCGATTCTTGTAGTTCTTTCGACCTAAGCGCTTATTATGTTCGAAGAGCTCGAATACGAGGCCTGCGCAAGAGAGATTGTTTTTTCAGAAAGATCGAAATATGCATAAGCTTTTCTCAAGAAAACATCGCCCAAAATTGTGTAGCCGCCGTAATATGCAAATCCTAACATACAAACTCCCTCTTCCTGAGAAACAATTGCCTCGGCATATGGGATAGATATCATGTTTGAACCGAAATTGAAATCAAGCGTTTTGTCCGCTGGCTGGTCACAGCTCACGAATCGGTATCCAAGGCCATTTTCTTCAACAACAGTGGTGTTGAAAAGAATGTCTAACTCACTCATGAGTTCCTGGTTGAGAAGCCCCAACGACGTGCCTGAGTCTATAAGGGCAGGTTCATTTACGGAAATTTCAACACCATCAAAAGTGATTGATTTGATTTCTAACGCCATCCTTCCCGTACTCTGGTCAATAGGATACAGAATCAACTCACCCGTATATTTTTCTGTATCGATTCCACCAAAAATCAAGGTCCCTGATTCTCCACTGGCACCCAAGAACAACGAGTATGATGCTTTGTTTGTGATCCCAGCCTCCTTTAAAGCCCAAGGAAGATTGTCATAAATACAAGGGGATGCTTCTTGATTTTTATCGGCAACTCCCAAGATTCCGGGGCCATCTGCAGTTGCCTGGGCGAATTGGAAATTCGAAAGAGCAGGGCTTTCAGGCCCAAAGGATAAACTATCTAGGTAGAACTCGCCTTCTGCAGTGATTCCACTCAAGTAGCTGACTGAAAACGGATATCCTGTCTTTATTGAGGAGTTGGATGCTGCAGGATCATAGCCACTGCTGGGAATCCAGAGATCTGCCGACCCAGTGTCAATAACGACCTGATTCTGCTTCCTGTTTGTTCCCAAAAACACATTGATTTGATAACTCAAATCCTGATAGTTGTATATTGTCTCAGCGAAGGCATCTCTCTTGCCCTTTACGAGTTTGTTTTTCGCCCAAAATTCTTTGGCAGAAATGTTGCCGACTTTCTTCAGCACTTTGAAGTCAAGTTGCAAAGGTGAAGAGCCTTTTTCCACTTCCAGCTGATGAATGTTATAACCCTGAACAAGAGTGAGTGCAAGGGATAATATGGCTAGAATTTGCATTCTTAGTGAAGTAAAGTTTGTTTGTTTTTCCTTTTTTTCAATGAAATCGGAAATCTCGATGATGTCAGTTACATTTTATATTCCCGCGGTATTGATTTTAGAATTCTGAAATAAACATACTTGCGGGCGGTTTTATCCAGAATTAGCAGTCGGTTTTGATTCTGTGTACCAGATTCTCTTTTAGACCCTCATTCGGAGTAGTCTGACACAATTTGTGGTTATGACCCCTGGTTCTCAAATAGCAGTATTGCGAAGTGAAGCAGAGACTTTTTTTTGATCCATGAAACATGCTACATTTTTCACCCCAGTATTTTACGAAGAGGTGTAAACTGCGTATCAGCTGAAAATATCATGAACAAAAAATCAGAAAGTTGTTGCACAGTAGATAGAATTAGGAAAATTTGGAACCTCTTAGTTGGAATCCGGAGCGTTTCACGTCGCAGATTGAGAGCCGAAATAGTACATATGCAAGTCTATAGTGCCGCGTATAGATGCGTTTTCCTATACCACCAGCACATAAGTTTATTGATTCAGTATGGTGTATCGAGTTGAACATAGTCGATAAGCAAAAATAGCCGAGAAGCAAACATAGTTGAAAGTAAACGCGATTGCTTGAAAAAAAGTTCGAACATAATTGGCTATATTGTACTCACGCTAATTACAATGTGAAGTCTTTAACTTTTTATTGGGATATATACCAAGCGCTTCCTTCTAAAATTGAAATTTTTAACTATCCGTGGGGTTTCTAATCGGGGACCAAAATATGGCACATCTAGAGTGGCATCCAAAAGTTTTTTGGTGGGTGTGCTGCGCTAAAAAAAAATGACTGTTTTGGTCAGACCTCAGGGTACCTTGTCCTAGCAGCAGTTTCCTTAAAACATTTGAGAATATTTTGGATTTACATGAGAGGTTAAATATCCAGGGGAAAAAGATTCACTGTCAGTGTTTGGCTGTGTTTGACAAAATCAGTCAGGGTAGCCGATGAGTTCTCGAAATAAATATAGATAAAAACGTAACATTGAAATTTTGGAGCTTCTGCAACAGTCTTACTTGATCCCACATTACAGAATCAGGAGGCCAAACTTTCAATATGGTAGATTCATTAATATAACTTCAGGAACCAAGATCTAGAGTATCAATTCGCTAAAATTAAAACAGCCAGCAGTGGTCCAACCTGAATTTTAAACTCAACGGAAAAATAATCCTCCTTTTTATACGTCAAAACCCAGTGTGGCTCTAGATCCTAAGATTCTATTCTGAGACAATTTTGATGAAGCCAGAAACATTATGTGTTATCTTCAGCTTTTGTGTCTCTGGTATCGAGACATTATTGGTGCCAGTTCTGCTCGATTTTTCGTTCTCAACATTGCTGTAAGTTAAGACAGCCAACTCGTCTCGAGAAGGTAAAGTTTGAAAGAAAGCGTGCTTAAATTTTTTGGCACATCTAAATGAAGAAAAAATCATGGATTTTACTGTTTGCATAGTGAGGAAGATAGCTACTAAGTATGCCAGTTTTACTGTGTGATATTTCTATCCCTTCCCCCGCTCATTTACAGTAAATAAGGCCATTGAGCAACTATTTTGCATGGACAGTTTTCATAGAGTATTTGTCTTTCTTTTTTATTTTGATGCAAACATTCTCTCTTGCTCCCACATCGAGCATTGGTTTTTCTTATTTCAATTGAGACATGCACAAACTTTTTCGACATTGCCAAAATTTTTCACTTGGAATATGCTACTCGACCTGTGAGGCCTAGTATTTCAATAAAGTATTCCACTTGCAATATCATTCTTCATATTCACTGATTTTCGATGCCCGATTTGACTCTAAAGTACTTGTGGACCTGTAGCTGGAGGAGTTGGGGAAATATTGATTCCAAGAGGACAAATGGGTATCTTACAGACTTTTACCTAGACCACAGCTCCTACGGATCTGAGACTAGAGAAGAACGAAAGAACAACCAAGTTTGAACAATGGGCCCAAATCACAATGTATATATAGCCGTTTATATTGGACGAAAACAATTATGTCTGTCAAAACAGTATCTAAGCCGTAGAAAAATCATGATTGCACTATCTTGAACCAGCTCTGAAAATTTCATTCTTTTTCATACTGAAGTACTCCCAAAGAAGTTGTGAATACTTCTGAAGAAAAAATGTAAATACACTTCTGAAGAGAAGGATATACCGGCGATGCCGATATTATAGAAATAATTGATAAGAGGTGTTTTTAGGAACAATTTTGAAAAGCAAGTCTAACTGTAGATCTGTCCCGAAAGTAGTATGTAAAGTTCAACAGTAAAGTGGGACAAGATTTGTAAATGCTGAAGGGAAAAGTTTTGCAAACTTGGATACTAAATTATCATCTACATCGATCAGCCTATTTCCTAAATGATAGACGTGGATTCAGCTCCAATTCTACAGGCCTCGATGAGAATCATTAGTGCAATGTGTTGATGCCTTGTCATTTGTCAGTCAAATACCCAGATCCACATGCGGCAATCATATATGTACAGCACCTACACTGTATTGTGTGCCGTTATGTTTTGATCGTGACATCTTGATTAATTGGTGCACTTCTGTCGTCCTCTAAGCGTTTCTAAAATCAGTGCATCGCCAGGGACATCATATCGTGAGTAGTCCGCGGTAAGTATAAGCAGAGGTTATCATACTATAAGCCACCATATATCAAAGTATAAACTCGAAGGCCATATACTGACAGTGTATACTTGGAGGAATATTCATAGTACAGCATAAGCCCAGGGGCCTTAATGCTCAGAAAATGAATGCTCAGAGAATAAATGCTCGGAAAACATCGAACATTCAGATGATATCACTATTCACATAACATCAAATGTCACAAGCTAGGAGCTCATTTTATACATAACACCGTCTGTTAAACCGCATGGACCCCGTAATACAGGAGACACCGCATATTCGAAAGACACCAAGTAAGGCACCATTGAATACACCAAGGAATGCACCTTATACCCACACGACAGCACACAACATCTCGGAAAACATTCAAAGGGCGCCTCTTGCCCGAGCACGCCAAAATAGAGAACCGCGCCTCAAAAAAAAACCTGTATCCAGAGAACACAAAACACTTCCAGATCAGTCAACCTCAAGAGCGTCCGTAAGGACAGCACACTCTGAACAATACCACCAACACATTCGCGGAACGCGTTGTCACGAGCGTTTCCAGAACACGCCCAAACACGCTCACTGCTTCCAGCTCGGCAAGGTGTACTTGGCAAACGACTTCTGGAGCTGGCGGCGCACGGTGATCTTCTGCGCGCCCACGAAGCTGTCGATACTCACCTTGATGGCGCGGTTCAAGTCGCTCTGGCTCACAAAGTCCGAGAGGCGCATCTTGGCAAAGGCCTCGGCAATGCGAATGATGCTCTCCAAGTGGCGCACGGTGATCGGGAATGAGCCCGTGGAAATGGACTCGCGCCGCAAGTCCGCGTACACGCGCGAGACCTTGTCCATGTCCATCTGCTGGAGCTTGGGCAGCGCCCGCGAGCGTGCGTAGGCAATGTACTTGGCCAAGAGCTCCTGCGGGATGGGCGATATCTCGCTTTCGCGCAGCTTGGAGCTCTCTGCGATGCGGTCGCGGAGCACGTGGGCCGGCCCGTCCACGGCGGCGTCGTCGGCCACGTCGTCGTGGGCCGGGTGCGAGCGCATGTGCGAGTCGACGACGAACGACGCGAGGCGCTCGTCCAGCTCCGCGTTGACCACGTCGCGCACCACGCACAAGATGTCGAAACGCGACAAGATGGGCTCGGTGAGGTTGACGTTCTGCGCGAGCGGGAGCGTGGAGTTGTACTTGCCGCCAATGGGGTTTGCCGCGGCGATGATGGCGCAGCGAGCGCGCAAGGAGGTGACGATACCGGCCTTGGAGATGGAGATCAGCTGCTGCTCCATGGCCTCGTGGATGGACGTGCGGTCCTGGTCGTTCATCTTGTCGAACTCGTCGATTAAACACGTGCCCTTGTCGGCCAAGACCAACGCGCCGCCCTCCAAGGTCCACTCGCGCGTGATGGGATCGCGGCGCACGGAGGCCGTGAGGCCCACGGCGGACGCGCCCTGGCCCGTGGCAAACACGGCCCTGCTGGCGGTCTTCTCCGCGTACTTCAAGATCTGCGACTTGGCCGTTCCCGGGTCGCCGAGCAACAACACGTTGATGTCGCCCCTGATGGAGTGCTTGCCGTTGATGTCCTTGGGCACGCCGCCAAAGAGCGAGCAGGCCACGGCCGTCTTGATGTCGCGGTGCCCGTAGATGGACGGGGCCATGGACGCCACGATCTTGTCGATGATGCCGCGCTCGCGCAGGAGGCGACGGAACTCCTTCTCGTCGTCCTCGAGCCACGCGGCGGGTGAGGCCAGGCCGCCGGCATTGGCGTCCTTGCGGCGGATGTGGTTGGCCTCGAGCACGGTGGCGAACACGGGGAAGCCGTTCTTGGCGTTGAGGTGGCCGTCGTAGTTGTTGCGGTACACGCCCAGCACCTCGACGTCCTCGCCCGGGCGCGCCAGGTCCACCAAGTCCGCGAGCAAGATGACCTCGCGGTGGCGCGGCAAGCGGCCGGCCGGCACGGAGCCCGGCGCTTCCTGCAACGTCACGCGCTGGTAGTTGCGGTAGAGCGTCTTCTCGGCGTTGAGGCGGAACGGGCCCTTGGCGTGGCAGTTGGTGCAGAAGCCCACGCGCACCTCGGTGCTGGCGTCCTGGACGAACGGGCCGAGCACCACGCCGCACTTGAGGCAGTCGAACTTGACGTACTTGAGCTGCGGGAACACGCCCGTGCGGCGCGTGACCACGCCCGCCACGGTGACGAGCTGGTTCAAGTGGCACTCGCGGAGCTCGCGCAACGCCAGCACCGTGGGGAAGTCCAGGATGCGCACGTGGATCTCCGGGTGGATCTGCGAGTAGTTCGGGTACGGCATCTCCGTGGCCTGCATGGCCACCACGTCGAAGATCTTGAGCACCTCGGCCGGCGCGGCCGCCAAGAAGAGCGCCAACACGGCCTTCAGCTCGGCCAAGTGGCGGTACGACACCTCCAACGACTCCAGGTTGAGCTCGCCCATGAGCTTGATGCGCGTGCCGTACACCAGCCGCCCGGCCTCCGTGTACTCCAAGAGGAACAGCCGCAACTCGCGCGCGATGGACCGCGCCACGGCCGGCTGCACGATCCACTCGCGCACGGACGGCGCCTTGACGTCCGCCAAGCTCTCCAAGGACAACTCCTCCTGGAACGGGTCCACGCCGAGCTCGTCCATGAACGCGTCCTCGTCGTCGGCCTGCCGCCGCCGCCGCCGCTGGATGGGCAACCCGAGCGAGTCGACGTCGCCCGCGGCGTCGTCGTCCAAGAACGCGTGCTCACGCGCGCGCCCGGCCTGGCTGCCGCGCACGAGCTCGTCGCGCCGGTCCAACTGCGCCTCGAGCCGCCGCCGCGTGGCCGCGTCCATGGGCTGGTACTCGCCGTCGTCGATGTGCGCGGCGCCCAAGTCGTAGTGGTCCTGCTGCTCGTTGCGCCGGTAGTCGTGCGCCACGAGGTCCATCAAGTCGTCGCCGTCCTCGCTGTCGGACGCGTGCAAGTCCGCCACGTCGTTGTGGATCTCGTCCTCCTCGTCGGCGAAGGGCACGGCGGGCGACAGCGGCGGGAGCTGGGGGCTGGATGCGAGCGACGGCGGCGAGCTGCTGCCGGCGCCCGGCGCCTCGGCCTGCCGTTTGCGGGGGCTGGACATGCCTGTTGTTGGGGGAATGTTCCGGGGTGGTCGTGTTCCGGGGTGGTCGTGTTCCGGGTTGGTCGTGTTCCGGGGTGGTCGTGTTCCGGGGTGGTCGTGTTCCGGGTTGTAGTGTTCCGGGTTGTAGTGTTCCGGGGTCGCAGTATTCCGGGCCGGGGTTGCAGGGTATTTGCCGCGACTTGCCGGTGTGATCCAGAACTTGCCGGGTTTTACCGCGCTTGTGGGTACCTGGGTGCTGGGTTGGGCGCGCCGAGGGTGGTAGGTGGTCCACAGGGAAATGCTGGCCGAAAGTTGCGGCTGGCTATGGAAGACTGCGGCTGGCTGTGTGTTTTGGTGAGCCTATGGAATATTCGGCTGCGTGGAGAAAGTCGACACACGCGGGCTTTGCTGCTTGTGCTGGGTGGTGCCAGGAAGAAAAGGAGGACGGGGCCCGAAAAAGTTGGTTTGGGCGACGCGCGCTGCCACGCTGCCCGATCGGGCAAATGCGCTGGGGGCCAAGCCGCGTCCCAGGGCCACCAGTGGGAGCGAACGAGAGATGAAAAGGGACAGGGAAGAGATGGGGGAGAGAAATGCCAGCGGGGAAAAAAATGGATTTGACGAGTTGACAAGATTGCTGGGCTACTGGGATTGGTGGAAGGACGGGATTCCTGGAATGGGCGGAGATATTGGAATTGATGGAGATGGATATGGAAGGGCATGGCGACGGCCGCGAAATTGGCGACGGCATTGGCGACGGAAAGGGCAGCGAAATTGAGAGCAGAAAAGAAATGGTGGAGTGGTTTAATGACTGTATTATCATGTTGGTGTCTTGTAATGTTGGTGTATTATAATGGTGGTGTATTATAATGGTGGTGTATTGTAATGTTGGTGTATTATAATGGTGGTGTATTATAATGTTGGTGTATTATCATGTTGGTGTATTATAATGGTGGTGTATTATAATGGTGGTGTATTATAATGGTGGTGTATTATAATGTTGGTGTATTATCATGTTGGTGTATTATAATGTTGGTGTATTATAATGGTGGTGTATTATAATGGTGGTGTATTATAATGTTGTTGTATTATGATGGTGGTGTATTATAATGGTGGTGTACTCTAATCCAATGATGATGCATTGAAATGTTGATGTGCTCTGATGGTGGATGTACTATACTGACTACTGTACCATAACGAAGGTGATGTATTGTAATGACATTACTTTACTATGATGATGAAGATGCACTAAAAATGACGGTGGATTTGTTGCATCCCTCATTGCATCAATGTGCCTGGCCTCCTCCTCTTCCATCTTCAATGCTATGAATAAAACCTTTTCGTGTATTTACCTTCACCTGGTCTTCGGCATCTGTCGCTCA